TGTTTTTTTTATTCTGCTGCTTGGCTGCCGCCGAACAGTTTAAAAAGAAAAGCTGCTGTTAAAAATTTATCATAAAAATATATAAAAATCTGAATTAGGTCTTTTATAAAAAAAAACTTAAATATTTTAATGACTTAAGTCTTTTCTAAAAAGACTTAAATATTTTTCTATTTCAGAATAAAGATTTAAATCTCAAATCATTTTGAAAATGACTTAAAATTTAAGTCAGCTTTCAAAAAATGACTTAAAATCAAATGACTTATGATTTAAGTCAAAAAAAGACTCCATTTCACTAGTCCGAAAAAGTAGCACAATAAGCGTTCGGCAATTAACGTTTTATGTAAAACTGGCTAGATATTTTTACACAAATGACGAAGGAACTATTTTTAAGATTTTGATGGTCAAACATCAACAAAATAACAAAATATTCGTTATGTTTGGACTAAGTTTTCTTGAAAATAAAGACATTATTTAAAATTCCGTTACAATACGGAAATAGATTGAAGTTTAGTGATTACAGTGATATATAATTTATATGATTTTGTAACAAATTGCTCGCTATTTTATAGCAAATGCTGAAGCTCTGTAAACCTTAATCAAGCCTTAATAAAGCACGTGTGTTTGGAATTTTAGGTGTGGCTTAACACGACAGGATCAGGCTAAGCCTTAGACAGACTTCTGAAATAAAATTGTTGAGATTTGTCTTTATCGCATGCCATCTCATAAATTGTATTTTGAATAGGTATAAGTACTTGTGACGTCTTCGTTGCCCTAAAACACATCTGTTTTGTGTTATAGTACTCGACCATTAACTGTCATGGTACGGCTATTTGTTTTATTGTGTGAACTGATTTATAGCTGAAGTTTACCTAGATAGCAAAATATGTATGTGACTCCATATTGTAGGTAGTTATTTAAGGGTCTTTCAGTCTGTTTTAAGTCTCGCAACGAAGCAGTTTGTCGCTTCGTTTATTTTCTACTATTTAAATCTATGTTTTCATTTTTGCTTTTAACAAAGATATGCTACTTTGGTTTAAACTCAATTGAAGCTTTTATTTTCACCTTATAAAACTTCAATAGGTTATGGGCCCAGCACGCTTCCACTGCGCCATTTGTATATCTTTATTTTAAAGTAAAAAAAAATTGCGTTGCGCGCGTTTGCACAGTTCGTTTGTTTTGTTAGTTAAAAGTCGGTAGTTTTTGTGTGTTACCTTAGCAATTCATCATGAGTGATAGAGAAGTGTTGGATATAACTAAACTTAACGGCTCAAATTATTCCATGTGGAAATTTGGAATTACGTTTTTGCTTCAAGCAAAGGCGCTTATAGGTTTTGTTTTGGGAACCGAATACGAGACAAAATTGAACGAGTGGAAAGCATGGATGAAGAAATCGTCACAAGCTGCGGTGATCCTTCTCAGCTTAGTAGAGAAGAAACTGCACCCAAATTTAATCAACTGCAGTACTCCTCAAGAAATTTGGGATAAAATAAAAGTGTTGTACGGAGATACAAGTGTTGATGCCAACCAAAGTGCATGGGAGTAGTTCTACGCTTTTAAGATGACAGACTCGCAGTCTATTGCTCTTCAAATTGAGAAGCTAGAGAGTATTTGCAAAAAGCTTGAAGACTCTGGGGAGAAACCTTCTGACACGGCGGTTGTGTCAAAGCTATTAAGCAGCTTGCCGCACAAATTTTCAGTCTTCAGAATAGCCTGGGACTGTACGCCAGAGGCAGAGCGACCTAATAGCGAATAGAGAAGGCGAATAGAGAAGGTTAACCTAATAGTAAGACTCATTAGGGAAGATAAGAGATTATCTGAAAATGAAGAAAATGTGACTGAGCTCGCATTTCAAGTACAAAAAACTTCACTTAACACTAGAAGCGCAAAAGAACAACGAAAACGCAACATACAAGACCTAAAGAAAAGAACAAAATATGCTATTTTCAAAAAGAAAAAGGACATTGGGCTCGCGAATGTCCGAAGAAAAAGAACGGATCAGAAGGAGCGTCGGCATATGTTTCTGATGTTACCGCATCTTTTTTCAGCACATGTGAGGAAGATAGTGAAGTTTGGATCGCTGATTCAGGTGCTAGCATGCACATGACTTTCAAGCAAGAGTACTTTGTTCATCTGGAAGCACCAGCAGAAGAATATTTGGTCAAAGTAGCTGATGACAAAATATTAAAAGTCGAGCGGCAAAGGTACGATCAAGATTCAGAAAAATATACAGGGTCGGCTTCAGGAACGCAAGCTTCGTAATGTGCTTTTTGTGCCGGATTTAAAAAGAAATTTGTTTTCTATCGGGACAATTAGTAATAATGACTTTTCTTTCTACGCTTATAAGGACAAGTGCGAAATTCGTGATCGCGACGGTAGGCTATCGTCAATCGGAGTTCGACACAAAAACTTGTACCGTATGCTTTTTGAAGTTAAAGTTCCTGTTGATTGTAACGTAGTTCAAGTAAATAGAGATTTACAAAGTGACAAATTAAAGCTTTGGCACGAGAGGATGATACACGTAAATATTCGTGCGGTGAAGAATACGTGTAAGCAACTTGAGGTTGGTGAACTACATGCTGAAAAAGACTTCTTCTGCGAAGCGTGTGTGACAGGCAAGCAGTCGCGTAAGCATCATGCGAGTGTAAAAAGTGGGACTAGTTATAAGCCAGGGGAAAAGATTCATACCGACGTGTGTGGTTCGGTAAATATTGAATCCCCTCGAGGTTCCAAGTACTTTTTATTATTCAAGGACGAGTGTACAAACTTCAGAAAAGTGTATTTCCTACGTCATAAGTCTAATGTATTCGAAAAGTTTCTCGAGTTTCATGCCTTTGTGTTGACCCAGCTTAACACAAAAATTAAAGTGCTAAAATCGGACATGGTACGATGGTACAGAATATACATCTCGCGAGTTCAATAAATACCTGCGTGATAATGGTATCGTGCATGCATTTTCGTCTGAGTATTAAACCGCGTAATTTTGCCTGGTGAAGAAGAAACTCCATACGAAAAATGGTTTGGACGTAGACCACAAATTAAACATCTTAAAGTGTTTGGAGTAGATGCTTACTGGAACATACCCAAGGAAAAACGTACCAAATTCCAGCCGAAAAGCAAAAAACTGCTTTTTGTGGGGTATGACGGCGAGTCCAATAACTACAGACTGTGGGATAATGAGAAAAATAAAATTTACATCAGCAGCGATGTAGATTTTAATGAGCGACACGCAGTTAAATACAAAAGCAGTCAACTTAGAATTGACTTAGACTTTAAAATTCCTGAAGAATTGCCTGAAGCTACAGCTCCCGAACAGGTGCAAATTCCTCAGCAGGAAATGATGAACGAAGCTGCAGAGCCTGAACCGGTGCAAGCCCCCCAGCAGGAAGCGATGGACGCAAGTAGAGTACTACGTGATCGCAACCTATTGCATCCTCCTGATCGTTATGGCATACCAGTTGCATTCTTCGCTTATGCTGTACCCTCAAATTACAGCCAAGCTGCAATACGTCAAGATGCAGAGAAGTGGAAAATGGCCATGAACGAAGAAATTGAGGCGCTTAACGACAATAAAACATGGAACTTGTCTGAACTGCCACAAGGTAGACGTTTGACTGGGTGCAGATGGGTTTTTACCGTTAAAACAGATCCTGCAGGAAATGTCGAGGGATATAAGGCCAGACTTGTCGCCAAAGGATTCTCTCAGCGTAAAGGAATCGATTATTTTGAGACCTATGCACCGGTCGTAAGATATGAATCGATACGGCTTCTATTAGCCATCGCCGCCAGTAGGGACTATGAAATTAAGGAAATTCGATGTAAAGACGGCATTTCTGTATGGCGAACTACAGGAAGAAATCTACTTGGAGCAACCGGAGGGATACGTGGACCCAAATCATCCAGATTTTGTGTGCAGGCTACACAATTAATGCAGTCTCGACGGTGTTGGAACGAGAAATTCGTTGGATTCTTAAAGACGTTTAGTTTTCTTCCTTGTGAAAGTGATAAATGCGTGTTCATAGGGCAAGTAAACGGGTTTACAGTCTACTTAGCACTGTACGTCGACGATGGACTAAGTTTTAAGTGTTTTAAAAGGTAAATTTAAAATAACTGTAGATAGCGCATCTGACTTTGTAGGTTTAGAAATTGTGCGCAATCGTAAGCAACGATTGTTAACTATTAATCAAGCAGGATATGTAAATAAATTAGTTGATAAATATGCAATGCAGGACGCAAATATTTCAAGTATACGAGCTGAACCAGGTTCTCATTTGCGTAAAAATCCAGAAAATATTCAAAGTAATAAAAATATTCCTTATCGCGAAGCTGTTGGCTCGTTACTATTCGCCGGGCGAGTATCTCGACCAGATATTGAATATGCAGTTAATTATGCAAGCCAATTTCTGGATTGTTACACTCAAGAACACTGGCAATTTGTAAAGAAATCACCTTATAAAACTTCAATAATAATATATATTTCCTTCACCCACACACCCGCTTTATCCGACCCCTGAGTACAGCGTAATAGACTCTTAAGTTTTCTGTAACATCAATTTAAGATAAGGATACTCAGGGGTAAAATATGGTCCATCCTAAGGTCGGTCTTCATACACAGAATTAAAGATTCTACTTCCCATCACCAGTCTTATTGGTTTATTTAATAATAAATGAGGGAGGTTTCTTGAAGTTTGAAAGTAAAAAATAGGCTTTTTTTTATAGATTTCTTGTATGTAATGTTTTGTTTAACACACACCCGAAAATCTTTTTTTTTGAAATGAAATAACTTGATTAATTTTTTTTCCGTTTTATACAGTTTGTTTGTTTTAATATTTTGAAGTAATCATTTGTCACAAAACTTTTAAACATGTGAATTTCCCTCTTGCATTCCAATTATATCAACTTATTTCTTTGTAAAATTAAATAAACTATTTTAAAATTTAAATGGCAGACACATCTATCACTGTCCAGGATTTTGTCTTTGTGCAGAGCATAATATATCTTACCTTTGTCTTGAGCCGTGAGAAGGGAAGATGATAAGGTCTGTCTAATTTTTCCAAAAGTGGTACCGCCATCTGCCGGTTCCGATGCAGAACTAGGGGGTGCCGGTTCTGCAGTCACCATCTGAAACAATCATTATTTCTATTAAAAAAACTGTGACAAAAAATATACATTTTTTCAGTCTTATTCATTTTTTTTGTTTAAATATACATTTTTTGTTGCTATGTATTTGCAGCAACACTCCACATAGAAAAATGAGAATTAAAAATAAAATACTGTAGTACAACAGCCCAGGGTCGTTCAACAAAGTTGAAAAGGTAATATTTTGACCAACTGTATAAAAAAAATTGAAATGAAATTAAGGAACCTACGTTGTGTTAAAAATATTTTTTAATATAGCTTACCTCGCATGCTCTCGACAGAAGCAATATTAGGAAAATTTGACGAGAATAGGTTATGTAAATCAAACGCTAAATTTGTAAATAGCCCTACTTATTTTATTAAATGAAATGAAGGGAGTGCCGTACTCTGCCTGGAATTCACAAGTAAAAGAGCACGGCAGTGGAAACCTTGATCACTATTCCACGAATCCAACTATGCTGTTCTGAACTTTAATAAAAGAGAAATAATAATACTACTGTCCTCATACCAAGTTTTGTAGTTTAATACCTTCAAAACATACCACATTTATTATATTCAAAACTGAAGATTTTTTATATGTCTTCATCCGTATTATTATTTGCTCCCTGATGGTCAGTTGCTCTAGCAGACGGTGGTAATATATTGAAGTCGGTTGGAAATAAAAACTCTGACTTATCTTCGGTGTTTTCTTCATATGTATTCAAATTACTTTCTCTCTCAGCACTAACCGAGGGGCCATTCAGTTGATTGAGAGAAAAACTGGAATTATAATTTTTAATAATTTTAGCATACTTATTTGCAACTTTACGTTTAAAATTTCCACTTTGCTTAATTTTATGCCATCAAGCACCATCAAGATTCATTTTAAAACTTATATAAATAAAAAATTTACTGTTATTAATTGTTTTATTAGCATCCAACTATGTTAAAATCCACATCATAAATATTTCTATAATGTATTTTTTAATCAATGATTAAAAAATACATTATTAGTTTTTCTATTTATTGTTTTTTGTTGCTCTTTTGTTTGCTAAGATATTGTCACACTGAACCCTAACATCGGCGCGAATGGACAGTAAACGATTGTATTTAGATTACTTTTAACAGTAGTCTAAAAGCTATTACCTAACACCTATCATCTCTGTTCATTGTCTGATTTACCTCTCCCTAATTTGCGTATAAATATTTTGAAAATCAATAATAATTTATGTATACAGAGTTTATTAAAACTGAATCTTTTGGATTTAAAGAAATATGTTTATATTTTAAATAGGCAGGTCGTTTCAATACAGTTGGGGGTTGAAACCTTTGGTGTTAACAGCAAAGCAGTCTCTGTTTTTATTGCTCTAGTTTCGGTAATTAATTGTTTGTCGTTCGACTGATTTTGTCTCGCTTGGCTCATTTTGTCACGCTTGGTCAGTATCAACAAAATGCCTATATAAACGTTCAATTTGTAGATAATAGATAGATGGCGACAACATGTCGAGTATATATCACGGCATTTTTGATCGTGTTAAGTCTATTTAAATACATCGGTGTCCAAAAATTACCAGAAATAAGTTTTTAAATTTTTTCTAATTTATAAAATAGGTAAAATTCACGCAATTTGGTGATTTTTCACAAGACCTGGATTTTTTTCGGAAGAAATTCGCTCGAAAATTTCTGGCAACACTGGTAGGTATTGGGCCTAAGATGATACGCCAACATAACTGATATATCTGGGACGTAATAATCACAATTTCAAATTTATTAGTCTGTGGGCTACGTGGAAAAATGTGGCTCTTAATGATGAATGCAACACACTTTGCACAGATGTTCTTTAGACGAAAACACTCGATTTGATCCGCAGCTTCCCGGTTCAAACCGTTGCTGGCGGAGTGGAGGGGGGGAGGGGTTAAAATTGGGTGCCTATATTAAAAAATGTCGCATATTATCTTTGAATAAGAAGACTACGGAAGGAGCATAATGCTATCCATGTATTCATGCATGGTGGGCGGAAAAAGCACTCTAGGGTGGGGATCCTTGACAGTTCTGTTTGACACATTTGAATTTGATTTGAAATTTTGTGGATTTGTCAGTCTTTACGGAGCTTATTTTATGTTATTTATTATTTATTCTACTACTGATAGTTGTATAAAGGTAGTAAATCTAGATGGAAATTGTGGCAGAACTTAAATTAACAGTGACACTATCGCGATTTATCGAAAAGACTCTAAAATAGTTGGTTGTGTAGCGTGCGGTAGATCTCGGCAAAAATTGAGTGAAATAATGGAACAACTTTTCGCTAGTAAGTGACTATATAATATACATACGTGTAGTAAACCGATCATTTATGAAATTCACTTAAAATTAACTAAATTATATATTTTTCTTGCATTTTAGCTTTTATTTATTACTTGTCAAAGATTAGATGTCAAAGAATTTAGATACGTTAATTTGACTTACCTGCTTCAGTAGCGTATCGGATGTTTGTGTTAATAAATACTTATTATAACTTATCTATTTTTATTAGAATTATATATTTTTATAACAATTTTAATAACTACCAACATTTATTCACAACGTAAAATAAAACAACAAATTATTGAGTCTACCCCACGTCTATAGTGTGACCAACGGATCTGTAGCTACGGGGTATCGGCAGGGGAACGCAGTTGTAAACAAAACACGCCCAATTTCATTCATAAAATAGGCATGGGCGTACGGTGTTTTATGAAAATAATGTGTATCATAAATATAAATTCTGATTAATAATTTTTTTTCAAAAAACTTTATCCTGTTTGAATCGTTACTGTTGAGTTAGCAGATAAACACACTAAAAGCTTTTATTAAAGCTCCCATAAATATTTTGAATAATTTTATTATTATGTGTTGTTAATATAATAGAAGAAATAATTACAGCTGGGGGTTGGAACCTTTGGTGTTACACAGAAAAATAAAACACTAAATCAGCACAATACACCAAAAAACTTTTACTTTTACACTGGGCGCACGTTTCGCTAACCATGTTAACATCATCAGCAGATGATCAAGACTGAGTATTGAGATATATTTATTTATATATCTGTACTAACTATATTTTTTTCTACAATACATAATTTTAGATATGAGTATTTCCAGCAAAAAAAAATCTTGAAAATAGTTAACTTTGGAAGCGCAAACAAAACATAATTTTACTCACCAGTAGATCCAATATTGCCTATTACACCAGATATGGTATCGCTCCGCCAGCACTTTTTAAAGGTTAGGTCATTGTCTACCCATGTTTCATCCAAATAGATAATACTTGGCGATATTTTCGAATTTCGCGTATATATTTATATCTCTCTCTGCAATATAATGGGCCGCTCCATTAATATTTATCTGTTATTTTGTTATTTTAACATTTACGCCAAAAAAATCTATTTGATTTTAATAATCCCCTAAGCGTTTCCCTGCCAAAGGAAGATTCGATTCTTCCTGCAATTTTTGCAAAAGCTTTCTAATTGTGGGGACGACTTTGAATTCGAGATAAAATCTATTTATCAAATTCCTGACCACTTGGAAATCAAAGTCGTCGAGCTCACGTAGCCGTTTCTTTCCAGAGTTGGATATCATTTTATCGGGGTTAGTTTCCAGTCTTTTTTTATCTTCTGTGTGAATTTTTTTATATCCGATACGCTAACTCCGGTATAAAGAGATATCCGCCCAAGTTTACGTTTAAGCGGCAACTTAAGCGAACTCTCTGTAGCTTCTTCGTCGCAAACCCTGTTATGAACACAAGGAAATAAACCAAATGAGATTTCATCCACGTTTATTTACATTTATTTTAGTTTAGCTAAAATATTTAGGTAAATGGATGCTTTTCATTTTAGCCAATATTTAATTTTAGTATTCTAATAATTACATTATTACTATTCTACTTACCTATATAAATTAGCTATTATTTCTCTTGTCTATATAGCGTCTTACCCTTAACAAATTTATTCATTTTAAAACACAAATATACAATCAAACTTAATATTAATAATTAAAAACTACGAACGAAAAACATTATAACAAGATAACAAAACAATAAAACACATTTTAACTATTAAATATACGAAAAATATAGGAATAAAGTTTAGGATAACCGGTATTAAATAATGAAAGAAAGTAATAATGATCAAAAAAATGACACCGCCACTGGATATTTCAATAGTATTCAATATTTCTACTCTTTTCAGAAGTGACCGTGAAGTTGGGGATAAGGCTAGCGAATAGCAAAGGCATAAAAGCCATGGCAACCGCGTGGTAACAAATCCTGTGACGTACTCTCGCCAATCATGTTCGATGAATAGGCGGCCATGCGCGGCGATGCCGGTTTGCCAATGATATCGTTGAAATATCTTCACCTTTCGTAATAAGCAGATTATACAGAATGAAAGAAATAAGTTATTAAATAAAACATATCCAACAATATGAACTACGTTAAAATTCCTTAGTAATATACGTCAGAATATATGCTAAACACATTATATATAATAAAAATATATTAAATTTATCGTTCATGTCTGGCAATTTCGCAATTTTATAGATAAACGTGACAATATCGATTTTTTTCTCGCATTCCTTCCGTAGCTTCAGATCCGCTGGTCAAACAGTACCCTACATCATAGTTTTACATTTTTTAAATAAAATTAGAACGACACTGATAAACCGGAATTTAAGTCGGCCATATTTGAGGCCCATCCTATGGGCCATTGCGGTGTACCTAAGATTTTTGATATGCTCCTTCCTTAGTCTTCTTATTCAAAGCATATTATTGATATTGGTATCGATTTGCAGGTTTTTCAGGATAACAAAACCGAATATAACCTCCCCCAATTATTTTATGATGCCATTCAGTCATTAGGTGGGGGTAAAATCTACAAAAATTATTGAACATTAAAGTAAAACTTTAATGTGCTATTATTTTATTGTTTTAAACCAGATTAAATGCAATTTTACTGAATACTCTTATT